GTGCTTGCGATTGGAAGCATCATTCGGTTATACTGTTTTAGTATGCATTGAGAGAGAGAGAGAGAGAGAGAGAGAGAGAGAGATTTTTTCTGTTGGACTCAATCCTCTCAAAGGCTTCTACTGAGTATCATGTAAGATACTCAAAGTGGCCATCAAATATAAGTACTTATCAACGAACGGGGGAGATGAGCCAAAGTCCTGTTCTTGGGATCGCCTTGGTCATCAGCAGAACAGCTGCTAATTGCCACTGTCCGTCGATAGATACAGATTGTAGATGGTTGCCATAAGCTCCTTCCAATGTACTAAATAGGCGCACAATATACAATGCCTTATTCTATGGGATATGTCTATGGGATTGTCTATAAAGAGATCATTTATTTTTTTGTACATGGAGGTCACAATTATTTCCATTCATTAGATATTAAATTGGATGGCTTGGGGTGAGTCACGAAGTCTAATAAATTTTTTTTTGGAACATAGTGTCTATTAAATAACACTCTTACAACCACCCAAGAAATTTAAGGGACAAGATGATTGTGACTTCTTTGTACAAAAGATAAATGGTTTCTTTGTAGACAATCGCTTATTATATTTGCTCCATAAATTATCGCATGGGCTTGTATACATTGTTGCATCTTCTCTCTCTGATGTCCAATTTGAGCTTGGGATGGGTTGGAACCCATTAAAGGCAGCTCTCTCCACGTCATGTGGAATTGGGAGTAGACATTGTTGCATGTAGTCTACAAACAGCAAACTGCACTCATCTCAAGCAGATGGTTGAGATAAATATACCACTGCCAAAATCAGATATAAGAGGAGCGGTTCACATCAAGAGCCCATTGTTATTACAGAATGGCTGGTACACAATTTCACTTCATGCCGCAAGGTAAATTGGCTCCCATGTCTACCACAGAAGCCTCGAGTTCTAGTTTTGACTTAGATGGCTCTTTAAAATTATCCCCAAATAGTCAAAAGACTGGTAAATTCCGGTGTAATTCAGCATATTTATTCAGTTCCTTGAGTAAGTCTGTTTATGATGATAATGTTTTTTATGATGTTTTTATGTTGAAGGGCTTGATTGGTGTGAAATATAATGAAGGGCTTGCTTCCATTAGTTTGGATTTGAGATCTAATGATGCTGGGTTTGATGAATTTCTTAGTGAACATCGTTGGAATGAACATGACAAAAATGGAATAGGAGAACAATAAGAGAGCCTAAGAATTCCTCTTCTTGTTCGTTTACATATGGCCATTTTGGAAACTGTGCCATCAAACTTGGGTTGGCATTGGTGCAGATGTGTGAAGTATGAGTGAGTTCTCTACCACCCTTTCCCTCTCAAACCTTCTCAAAACAAGATTGATGCTATTTGTGAGGTTTGTTGCCCCAATGACAACCATGAATTTTCTAATCTTTACCACCTTGACCAGTAATATTCCAAAAGCAATCCGACTCCCAGCTATCCTTCCATTTACTTAGAATTTTCAACTCACTCAGCTTTAAATTAACATAGTTTTACTTAGAATTTTCAACTTACTCAGCTTTAAGTTCACATATTTTTACTTAGAATTTTCAACTCATTCAGCTTTAAATTCACATATTTTACACAAAGGAAATGTATTTAGCTGCTCAACTTTAAACTACGGTAATATGCAAAGATGTGAACAATCTTCACGGTTGCAGAATTTTTTGTAGGCAAAAAATATTGTACACATATAACCCCGATTTTAAATATGCAAGCAACCGCCATATCCTCAAATATCCTATATAATCGTGAAAAGATAGCAGCATATCCTCAGAATCTTGAAAAGATAGCGCAACTACTTTCATTCCACTACTATGAGCTATCTAGATAACAGTTGTAGAATTCGGAAACACACCATGGTAAATGCTTCGATTGTCTTATAATCTTATTGGTTTTAGTTATTTTAAATCGAGCCCATAAAAATAAAAAGGCATTTAATTGTAATATGATTGTTTTTTTTCATTTTAAATGGAGCCCATAATAGTAGGAGCACGAGCACACACGCATATACATATTAAGTTTTAAAATTAAAAAAATTTATCACACACTTGGGAGGTTGTAGAAAGGCTGGGCAATAATGAACTATAAAATATCACGTAGGGAAAGCATATGTACTCCATGCCTCCTAGTGGGTGTGGGGCCGTCCACATGGAAATGTAGTAAATACTAAGAAAAAATTGAAAAAATAAAAATGTATAATAAATAAAATTTTATGGGAGATATGGGTCTTGTAGTAAATAAAAAATCTAAAAAAATAAAATTGAATGGAACTAGGTAGTTCTTATAGGATTGGTTCCCACCTGGAACTGGCCGGTTCTTGCATAGACTTGGCTGGTTCCTAAGTGATGCAGATAAAAGTTAGAAAAAAAACTTCAAAGTCACAATTTTATTATTTTTTTAAATTTCTCTTTTTAGAAATAGATAACATGACTATTTTTAAGAAAGGTAAATCTCTTTTTAAGGTGTGAGTAGTAAAAAAAATATGTTTTAGGGAATAATAGGAAGTACGTCATTGGAAAGTCCTTTCATGGAAGCTCCCTATCTCTTCCATATCTTTTGGTTTAGTGAATAACATATAGATAAGGTTAAAAACTTATTGTTTAGGAAATAACATATAGATTAGGTAAGAATCTTTTAGTTTATAAAATAATAAGCGGTAGAAAATAGGTGGTATGCAATAGAGAGAAGAAAGTGAGAGAGAAAATCGGGAGAAAAGCTTTTGGGTGGTATGCGAGAGAGAGAAGAAATAGAGAACATTGGAAAGTGAGAGGTGGTACATGAGTGAAAGAAGGTGATTATTTTTATGAGTTTTTTTATTTGTTTATTTATTTATTTTTATTTAAAGAGAGATGTCCCATTGCTGTAAAGATATCAGATAATGAGAATTGAGTAAAATTGATCTTGTGAAGTGATATTTTTGATGTGGATTCCCTCTCAGACTTTGAAAATGAATGTATTTTTTCAACCCATTATTCTGGTTTTATTTTCTCTTTTTTTTTTTGTTATTATTCTGGTTTTATTTTTTTCCTTGCATCACTTTTTTTTTTTTTTCTGGTTATTATTCTAATTTTATTTTCTCCCTGCATCACTAATGCAAGAGAAAAACTTATGAATTTTAGGTAAGCTGTACCTAGGCTTTTTTAAGATTTTGATATCTCCTAAGTTAGAATCTGGGTTATGGGATTTTTTTTTAACTCTTTTTCTTAAGGGAAAGTATAGAATAAGACTTTTTACTTTGGTATAAGGTGGTACATTAATATTGACCAATGGATGTGAAACTAGGTGGTTGCAATTATTCTATTGACCAAGCTTAAACTTCAAAACAATTTTTTTTGAGCTTTGTGACACATCCAAGCTATCAATTTCCACATCGGATGGTTGTAAGTAATTGTGATCGTCTTGTATCAAAGGTAAATGGTCTAATTATATACAATCATTTTTCCTAATTTCAAGTATTTTTAGGGTATTTTTCCTAATTTCGACAATTGTGTCCTATTTTCTAAGGATTTCTGGTCTTTTTCTCTTGTATATTTTTGGGTTTTGGAAGGAGGAATTTATAGGTTTCAGTAGGGATTTTTCATATTTTTTTTGGATTTTTACGGATTTTTTCATATTTATCCTAATTTTTTTGATTTATCCAATTTAAAACGCGTTTTACTGTGTCATTGAGCCATGCCTGGGCCCGCTGGGACTTGCCCTGCGGCCTAATACTTGTAGGGTCATGCTGTGTTCGATTTTTTATTTTCTGGAACAATTTCCCTCGGGTTTTTTTTTCTAAACATAAGTCCGATTCAGGTGATTCTTGTACCGTTGGAAAGGTTGTGACCTCCACTACAACCTGGAAATTTTGAGATATTTTCACGGAGTCTACAAGGCTATGACTTTAAAGTCTCGATTTCAGGTTTTTGGGTATCCAATCGATGTTCGAGGTCGATTTCGAGGTTGGTTCAGAATGATCATGGGTGCCTAATGAAAGAAAGATTAATGCGATCTTGTTGGTGAATATATTTGTTTATTTTTCTTGTTTTCACCCCATTTCTTTTATTTTTCTTTTCTTTTGGTAAATATCACTTTCAAGTAGTCTTATTACAATACCTTTTGCTTCAAAGAAAATAAAACTAACAAATCAAATATCTTAAAAATCTTGATGCCATCAAATCAATATTTTTTAAACAAAGAA